AGCGCACTGAAAAAGCCCCTTTGTGCCATGCTCCTGGGCCAGGTTGGGCTTCACACTGCACTACAACTTAGGGGCTGTTTTTTGCAGCCCCAGAGCCACAGCGCACTGAAAAAGCCCCTTTGTGCCCAGCCCAGCCCAGCAGTCAGGCCGGGCACGCCTCGTCAGCAGCAGGAGCAAGAAGACGGCAAAGGTCAGCTAGGGTGGCAGGGGTCTCAAAGTGCAGGGTGGCAAGGGCGACTGTGGCTGGGACTGGGCTGGAGTGGCTGCAGCTTCCTGGGGTGTGGCAAGCAACCCCAGAGCTGTGTGGTTCTGGGGCTGCTTGCTCCCCTGCAAGATAGGGTGCAGGGCAGCCAAAAGGGCAGAGGGGGGGGAGAGATAGGCGGGTGGGGGGAGTTGGAGGCAGTCCCTTACCTTACTGAGACTCAGGGCTGGAAGGAACCAAGTCCAGAATGGCTTGGATTGGGGTGGGTCCTCGGCTAATGACCAGCAGAATTTGCTTAATGCCTGCAATGGGGACTGCCAGGATTGCCGTTGCTAAATGATGCAGTCATGTGACATCTCACTTTACGACTGCAGCGCTTGGCAATGGAAACTCTGGTCCCAGTTGTGGTTTTAAGTTGAGGACTACCTGTAACCTTCTTCTATATAATCTATGTAATGAACCCAAACTAATAAAATGTTTTTCTTTTAAAACTGGATGCAACTAGATCTCTTGGATCTCACTGAATTCTCTCTGAATGTAACTGGATCTCACTGTACTAAAAAGACAAAGATATATTAATAAAACCACCATCACCAACTTTGGCCCTGTACTCCTCCTTGAGTTTTCCCAACCAGTAATATAATGTGTATAATGTATTAATGTATATATTCTAACTGTCTGTCTGTCCATCCACCAACATATCTTTGGTGTGTGCGAGAGGGGGGCGGGGGACAGAGAAATATGGAGTGAAAACAACATATCCCTTGAGATTAGATTGGCCACAGTCCTGCAGGCTTTCTGAAAAGCTTTAAAGACTGGGATTGATTCCCAGGCTGAGTGCTTGTGGGTGTTCTTAGTTTATTTGATTGGTTTTTACTTCAGTGGTCATGATAGGCTTTATTTATTGGGTTTTTTGGTTGCCATTTTGTATGGTGTTTTTCATCTATTATTAACCCAGAGTCACTATGGCAAGATGACCAGTCATAGAAATCAATCACTCATACATATAAACATACATATATGCATTTTGGCTGTTACCTACTTTAACGGTATGTTGAAAGTTATAGCAATAAGATAGCATTATACAACTTCTTATATAAAAAAGAGGTTAAAATCAATATAAGGAAAATAAGGAAAGACAGCCTTGTATGGATATCTCCAAGTTCTACTAAAGGAATTTTTTTTTAAAAAAAGGTTGGCTATAATTGACAAGCACAAGATCCAACATTTTAGCTGAGACAATCCATATAGAGACAGAACACATTTTCTAGGAAACAGTCCATTTTTCCTCTTTTTTCCCTAAAAGATTGCAGCAGTTGTAAAGCTTACCAGATGGGAACATGAAAGTACTGCCAGTAGCTTAGCATCTGACTGCTGAGGCTACTGGACCCTGTGTTTGCACATAGACATGTGAGAGGAAGAACAGAAGTTAACACTATTGCATGCAAAAAGTTTCTTTTATGTTATTATACAAAATATCTACCAATTGGACTCTAGGCACTCTTGGACAGACAGTCATGTTAAAAATACAGGCAGTCCTCAGGTTACGACCATTCATTCAGTGGCCATTCAAAGTTACAACAGCACTGAATGAATGGTACTCATGATGTGTCCTTGCAGTTCTGGCTGTTGCAGTGTCTCCATGGTCATGTCACAGCTTCCCACAAGCAAAGTCAATGGGGAAGCTGGCAGGAAGTTGGGGTCACATGAAGTCCCTCCTTAAAAACCAGCGCAGTCCTCATTTAACAACAGCAACTGGGATCTCCAGAATTGCTGTTTCTAAACAACGCAGTCACATGATGTCACACCTTATGACCATAAACTGAGGACTACCTGTACAACAATACAGAAATAATGTAGCTTCCAGGGTACATTAATGTATAACGAACTGAAGACAACTGCGAAAGCGGAGCCAATGACTGCAGCAAAGACCAACGGTTCCTTGGGATCTCTCCAGATAAGGAGATGATGAGAGACTGCCCACATGGACAGCTCTGGACAGCTGCTCCCCATGAGGAGACTGCAGGACAGAGGGTTTGAGTGCCGGGAGATGATGGGATTAGCTATCTTGCTCAAACGATGGCAGAGACTTTTAAAGGACATTAAGTTCGCAAACCTCACTTTCTAATCATCCAGGAAATGCTCATTAATTGCTCATTTCTAACCTATTAGAGACCTTCAGAATGACAAGTT